AAATCCCAGACTTCATTTCACTTCAACTGACCAAGCTCATATTTCATAACATTAATCCAGAACTCATCAGTCAAAGCTTCTTTAACATTCTTTGGTTCTATGTTTGACACAAAACAAGAATTTGAAATAGCTTCCTTTAACCTGTTGACTACTCCTTGTCTAGGATTTCCTATTATAAGCTCCTTAGGATTATCCTTTTGAATTCTGAGAGATGGTCCTTTGTCATCTGCTTATGGTTCTTTTGCTTCAGAGTCGGTACATGAGCCAACTACGCCTGGGGTGGATGTTGTAACATTCTCTTCAGAAACCACATCTTCAGCTAGAATAATTGTCTCAACTTCTTCCGGGACATCATCTTTTGTAGTTGAGTCATCAACAATCACATTTGAAGACTTTGTCATCATATCGGTTATGGAGTTGAATACTCTATATGCTATACTGTTTGTAGAATATCCCAGAAAAATTCCTTCATCACTTTTAGCATCCAACTTCCTTCTTGGCTCTCGGTCATCCAAAATGTAACACTTACTCCCAAAGACAAAGAAGTATTTGACAATTGGATTTCTTCCTCTCCACAATTCATAAAGAGTAACTGAAGTTCCAGTTCTGATTGTCACCATATTTTGAATATAGCAAGCAATGTTCATGGCTTCATCCCAAAAGTAAAGGGGTAATTCCTTAGCATGAAGCATAACTCTAGCACACTCTTGAATAGTCATGTTATTTCATTCAACCACACCATTTTTTTAAGGAGTGATGGGTGAAGAAAAATCATGACTAATTCCTTCAGAAGCACATAATTCCTCAAACTTGTTGTTCTCAAATTCTTTCCTATGGTCGCTTATAATTCTGACAACACCATAATCTTTTTCTCTTTGAATCTTATGACATAATTCCTTGAAGACTTCAAACACTTCAAATTTATCTTTGAAGAACTTCACCCAATGAATCTTGAGTAATCATCAACAATAACATATGCATACCTTTTTCCTCCCAGACTTTCAACCTGCATAGGTCCTATAAAGTCCATGTAAATAGCTCTAGAACTCTTGAGGTGGAAATATGTTAGATCTTCTTATGGGATATCTTTGTCTGCTTACCAATTTGACATTCAACGCAAATTCTTCCTTCATCAATCTTTAGTTTAGGAATATCTAATATCTTCCTTTGACAAGATCTTCTTCATGTCTTTCAGATGAAGATGACCAAGCTTTTGATGCCATATGTTTACTTCATCATCTTTTGACATTAAACATGTTGAGATACATTTTGTTTCTAGAGAGATCCATAAGTAGCAGTTTTCTTTTGATCTGGTTCCTTTCATAACAAATTCCTTCTTATCATTTGTAATCAGGCATTCAGATTGAGTAAAGTTAACTTTGATACCTTGATCACACAACTGACTGATACTTATCAGGTTTGCTGCTAGCCCTTTCACAAACAACACATTATCGAGACTAGGTTGTCCAGCATAATCCACATTTCCAACACCTTTTATTTCACTTTTTGAACCATCTCCAAAGGTGACATAGCTAGTGGCGCGTGGTTTATGTCCACTAGGAATTCCTTAACACCAGTCATGTGTCTTGAACAACCTCTATCAAAATACCAATTTTCTCTAGTTGATGCTTTGAGAGAAGAGTAAGCTATTAGTACATATGAATCATGATGAGGGACCCCTCTTGACTCTGCCTCAGTATTAACATCTTTCCTTCTGTTGGGAGACCTATGGTAGGAATAACCATACAGTTTGTTACAAGAGGACTTCAAGTGACCAAGAAATCCATAATGGTTACATCTCCATGGCTGATATATGGGACTATAGTATCTTCCCCAATGTCTCGACTGATGATGGGACATGTGAATTGACATCTTCTTCTCTTGTTTCATCCCATGAGAAAAAAACTCCATAACTTTCTTATATTCTTCTCAGCTTGATTATTGTAACCAAGACCCTATATATTTCTAGCATCAGTCTGAAGAATCTTATTCAACATAGCAGTGCCACTGTTTAGCATTCTCACAGATTTGGTCATATTGTCAATCTTTAACTTTTGCAATATTACCTCCTATCTAAGATTTGTGATGACAGATAGGTGCTCTTCTTTCTCAACCTCCACTTGTGTAATAAGTATATTTTCCTCCAATAATTTTTGCCTCATTTTATCATTCTTGGGGAACATATTTGTGAACCCAATATCCAGTTCACTAATCGTGAGTTCTCCAATATATGATTCTTTATCAGATTCATAGGATTCTTGACCAGGCCCACAAATTCTAATCAAGGTAGTCACCTGCTTGGCTGAATCTTCTTCATGATCACTTTCAGATTCTCCATCTGACCATGACACAAATAAGTTCTTCCCTTGCTTCTTGAGATAGGTAGCACATTCAATTCTTATGTGTCCATATCCCTCACATTCATGACACTGGACACCTTTCCCTTGATTTGGCTTCTCCTCAAATTTTGATTTCCTTCCTAGGTCTTAGTTTTTGTTGATGTCAGATGACATGTTCTTAGCATTTAACCTGGACTTCCTTAATACTCCGTTAAACTGTCTCCCCAGCAGCACAAGGTCATCATACACTTCTTATCAGTTTACACTTCCTCTACTCTCGGAGTCATCACTGCTAAAGACAAAAGTTATACTCTTTTTATTTTCAGACCTTTCATTGATGGTATATCCAAAGGTCTTAAGAGAGCTTACCAATTCATCAATAGTTATAGTGCTTATATCATGGGACTCTTCAATGGCAATCACCATTATGTTAAACCTTTTTGGAAGAGATTTGAGCATCTTCTTGATCAACTTATTCTCTGAAATCTTCTCTCTCATATCTTTTGAGTCATTATTAATGTCTATCACAATAATGTGAAAGTCCTGAATACTTTCATCCTCCTTCATCTTCAAGTTTTCAAATTTTGTAGAGAGAATTTGCAGTTTTTCCATCTTCACCTTAGGATTTCCTTCATGCACCTTCTTTATGGTTTCCCAAGAAACCTTAGCATGCTTGCAATTTTTTATCAGTTTGAACACGTTCTTATCAACCCCATTGAATATTGAATTCGGTGCTTTAGAGTTCCCTTGAGATAAATCCTCATCATCATCACTCTAATCTTCTTCAGGCTTTAGCACATCAGTATCTTTACAATCTTCTCCCTTAACTTTAGGAGGATCCCATCCTTTGACAACATTCTTCCAGGCCTTGTTGCCTAGGGACTTTAGGTATGTTTCCATACGAGGTTTCCAACTGTCATAGTTGGTACCATCCAGAATATGTATTTTCATTGTGATTCAACCATCCTTGCTCATTGCACCAGAAAGTAACTTCCATGAATCTCACCCAGAGTCAGACCAGGATGACTGCTCTAATACCAATTGAAATTTTGGCTATCAGATTCTAGATTCCCTAAAAGATGTCGACACATTGAATCCGACTTCATACACAAAAAGAAGATGTACCGACAAAATAAACAGCGTTAAAAGTAAATAACACAAGATATATTTACCAAGTTTGCAACAACCTTCCTACTAAGGAGGCTACAAAGCCAGGGACGAAATTAATTAGATAGTATCATAGTTTACATCTTACACACTTAATTACTACCATTTGCTTAACTTCTACCTAAGACACACCTATGTATGATACCCTCCACAAATCTCTCTTTAATTACACTTAGAAATTGGAGCAACTCTAAATACTAGTAGAGAAGAAAATCGGAAGTCACTCTTCCAAGACACACAAAACTCAATGCTTAAAAGTTATGAGAATTGACATACAAATACTCAATACTTAATAGGTTATGAGTATTTGACACACAAATGTTCTATGCTTAAAAGCTTAAGAACGTCTGACACAGAACTTACAACCCAATAGTAAGGATTCTAAAACCCTAACAAAATACACACGTATGTTCCACCTTAAACTAGATATACACCAATCCATTTATAACATTATTTTGGACTGGGTTGGGCTTCAAAACCTCAGCAATGAGGCTGCACAAAGTCTGCACATTATTCTCCAAGATAATAGGTCTTCAATCATTAGTTTCCTAAAATGTCTTCATATTTAGAAACTATGAAATCTTAGAAAACCAACATAAAAATATTCTTATTTGTCAATCTTGAATGCCACATAAGCCAACTGAATATTCCCCAAATATTTAGTAACTTAATAAATTAGTTGGAGCATAACTAGAAGTTTCCGCAGACGCGATGTCCTATCTCTAGGTTGGGAAATCTTCTTCGAATGTTGAAAACGACAAATTGGGACTTCTTTATTCAACATGTTGCTTCCAATTTGATTTTACCAAAATGTATGCCAATCACACTTTCAGAGAAATAACAGGTTTAATCACATAAAACACATACATAGATAGCTAACTAGCTCCCTTTGAGTTTTATACTCCCAAATTTCATTTTAGCTTGTTCATAGGCTCCCTATGAAATCAAGATTTACAAAATAATTTTGAAGTATAAAAAGGTGGTAGGAAAGGAAAACTTCCCTGTCTATAGTTTCATCAGAATCTGACTAGAAATGCCTAGTTCGTAATCTCAGATTCGAGTATGCTATCCGAACACGATGAAGAATCAAAATCGAGTTGTGAAGACGCACCAAGCATCAAAACTTGGTTCGTCAAGAATCTTGACCATGTTCAGAACTTTAGAACTTTTCATGGTTTCTCATAAATATTTATCATGTCTTCTGAATACCTTTCAAAATTTATGAGTTTTGCTGTCTAGATAAATTCAATGAACTTCACAAAATTCCTGAGTCAAACATTAGTTAGAAGAAAAATATCATAACATGTATGGGATCAATTATGAGAAACAAGTATATAAAAATCATATCACTTTCTCCCCCATTGTCAGAAATCAAGAAGACTTTAAACTGAACAACCAAGAAGGATAAACTTTATTGATTAAAAAAGATGAATTAAAAAAAGATAAAGTACATAATTTTGAAATCTAAAGAAAACAAAGGTAAAAACAAAAGGGCTAGGTTTTTGATTTCTCAGAAATCTTTGAAGGTATTTCTTGAAACAACTTCATATTCCCAGCATTAATGTCCTGTTGTTCTTCATTCCTCTGATCCTGCAGATTCAACTGTTCGCCTACCAGAGCCTTCTCAGTTCTAAACTCATCCATCAATTGCTGAAGCATAGTAGATAATTCCGCTGAGCCATAAGTATGCAGCTTCTCAACACCTGAAGTAGATCCTACTTCATGTTCAGGAGGAATCTCACCTAAAGGGAGATCCTGCTGATTAGGAGTTGTCTCTTTAGCTATAATCACTTTCGGATCCGAAAGCAGAAAGACTAGAGGAGAAGGGTGGCGTGCAAAAATATCAGAGTTTTGATTCTTCATCGCATCCATGAAGCAAAATAATTGAAATTCATAAGAGTTGGATTCTATCCACCTATTGAATTCATGCTAGATATAATTTGTTTCTTCATGATTTAGTCCTTCAGTGCAAGCATCTACTAGGAAACATAAATGATTCAGAGTCTCATATTCAAAATGATGCAATAATTCATCTAAGGGAGGTGGTCTGACATCGTTGTGGTGAAGGAGAGGGTTACAGAGAATGGAGTAAGGTTCAAAGGGTTTATCAGTAATAATCCTTCTTTTAAGAAAATACAGCTCAGAATTAGAGTCATTTGTCTCAATGTTAGTAAATTATGGGTTCTTATTTTCAGGCGCATAAGTAGGTGAAAAAGAGTTTTGGATATTTTGGTAGAGGGGGTTGAGGTCTAATTCAAGTTGTTGGAGTTGTTAGAGGAGAATGTTTGGTATTTGGACTGTTTATGTGATGGTGGTTAGAGTGGGGTTGGTTTTTGAAAAGAAGGTTTGGGATGGTAGTGGTAAAGAAACAATTAGTTGTTGTGAGATGTGAAGTGGAAGGGATACACTTTTAGTGGTTTCTAATGAAGTGTCCTAAAAAAATTTTGGATTTTTGGGGGGTAATTTAAGACCAGAAGTAGTGATTTCTGAAACGTTTGGATTTTTCAATTTAGGGAGCAAACACTGTTCAAAATGTGGAAACAGATGGTTGTATGGGTGGAAGAGAAGTTTGAGTGGATGGATGAATAGATGAATCATCAATAACATCGAGAATGAGATTCTTAGAAGTAACACACTTACTAGAATCTGCAGCAAAGGTTAATCCTGTAGCAGTAACACTTCCTTTTGACTTCCTTGAAGAGTCAGATGTTCTAGCTACCTTAGAAGGCCTAGAACCATCAACACCATCAGAAGATCTCTTGATTGATTTATAAGACTTTGATTTATTATAAGAACTCTCAGCAAACGTCTTCTTGGATGCTTTCCTATTTTTCTTCGCCGGAGACTCAGAAGGATAAACTGAATCAGAAGTAGGAGGAATTCCTAGAGATCTAAAGTTGTGAATAGTAAAATCTTCCACTTCCATCCTCCTGGAAGCCACTGTGTTCTTATCCAGTTATTTAGAAGTACCATCAACGTCAAAAATTAAGGACATATTCCTTAAGATTTTACCGTTGAGAGAAGCTCAGATAAAAAAATCAAGCTCCCTTTATAGATTTAGGAATTCTACAAGTTTACTCTCCACCATAATATCATACACGAGTCTTCTTATGGGGACCCATTTTCTAGATTTAGAACCATTGTCCCTAGTCTTGACAATAGTGTACTTTAGATAGTTGAATAATATTTCTGGTAGATTAACTTTGACTCCAGCCTGGATGAAAATGAGAAGATATTTCTGATCAATGTTGATGTAATCAGAATAGTTTATGGAGTTTCTGTGATAAAATCTTCCTAGAAAAATCTTGAACCAAATCCTTAGATCATTATGAAGCCTCTTCGGATTATAGGAATCCACTGCATCTTTGAATATTCTAGCAGCATTTTCAGACATCCTCACATAATCAATGGGCATGTTGATACATATTTCTCCAATGCCATCATGTTTTATCAACTTGACAATGTCTTCCATAACAATGCAAATGCTTTACCCCGTTAATTTTTATAAAATCATCCCATTAGAGGATGCAAAGGCGTGAACCTATAAATCCTTGACCAGTTCTAGGTAAACTAGACCTTTCAAGCGATTAAAATAGGTTTCCCATCATTAAGTCTTCAACACAGAAGAGAAATCAAACCTATTAGCTTTTAGGTTTTCAAATTCGACAATCAGTTCAGTTAGAACATCGAAATTATCAATAGAAGTAGAAAGATGAAGATTTGGGTCTTGTTGAGATTATTGTTGATACGAAGAACCTTGAACTTGAGCGGTTGAACCTTGTTGTTGTTTTTGTTGTTGTAGAAGTTAAGCGTCTACTTGTTTTTTTGTTGAGCATCTACTTGTTGTTTTTGTTGAGCCATTGTGAATATAAACACATACAAGGTTTTTGGTTTCAGGGAGTTTTTAGGGTTTGAAAGAGAGAAAGTGTGGGATAGAGTAGCGAAAGTGTGTGAAGTGAGAATAAGTGGGTTTAAAATATAGTTTTTGCAATGATGAAAATGATTTGAATATTGCAAAAAGTTATGACAAGAGGTAAAGAAAAAATATTTTAACCTAATCCTAAAAAAAAATCTCTTCTCCCAATGCATCACATCAAGTGCTAAGCATGCTTCAAGAAAAGACAGTTGTCTTTCATTGAATCACAAACTTTTCACTATCCTGACAACTCATTAATGAAGTCAATTCTTCACTTTGCAGAGGACTGAAATTTTTTAAAAGAAAATATTCTAACCTAGGACGTTTCTGATACATGAGAACTTCACTTTTTAGAAGCCTCATATTCTAGAAGCGAATAAAATGAAATACTCCAGAATCTCATTTTCTTATTCTAAGAAGCTTAACATTATGAGATTACATCTTTTTCATTCTGGAAAAGACACCATTTTCAGGTTCTTCAAAATGAAAACAAATTTATCTTCAGTAAGGGGTTTTGTAAAGATATCAGCCCATTGATGATATGTATCTATGAATTTTAAAGATAAGATTCCCTTTTGAACATAGTATCAAATAAAATGATGTTTAATCTTAATTTGTTTAGCCTTAGAATGTAAAATGAGATATTTATATAAAAAAATTTCAAAAGTGTTGTCACAAAAGATAGGAATGTTACTCTCATATATTTGGAAGTCTTGTAGCTGACTTTTCATCCAGAGAATCTGAGTGCTGCATCCAGAAGTAGAAATATACTCAACTTCTACAGTTGAGAGCACTATTGTTGATTGCCTCTTGCTGGACCATGAGATCAAATTATCTCCCAGATAATGAGAACTTCCGAAAGTGTTTTTTCTCCCAAGTTTGTCTCCAGCGTAATCAGCATTACAATAACCTACTAACTTGTATTCACTTGATTTTCTATAACACAAACCATGGTTAGTAGTATCTTTCAGATACCTAAAAATCCTTTTAACAACTATTAAGTGATATTATCTAAGATCTAATTGGAAGCAAGCACATAATCAAACACTTAATAGAATGTCAGGTCTAGAAGAAGATAAATATAATAGAGAACATATCATACCTCTATACAACTTCTGATCTACCTCTCCACTTACCTCGTCTTTCTCTAGAATGCAATTAGGGTGCATATGGGTCTTTGCTGTCTTACATTCTTACAAGTCAAACTTCTTCAGAAGTTACTTGGTGTACTTGCTCTGATGAATGAAAGTTTCTTTTGGGCCTTGTTTGATTTGGATTCCCATAAAGAACTTGAGTTCTCCCATCATACTCATCTCAAATTCATCATGCATTTCCTTAGATAACTCATTACACAAAGTGGCATTATCAGAACCAAATATAATATCATCAACATATATTTAAATCACTAGAAAGTCGTTTTTTAAGGACTTACAGAAGAAGGTGGTATCAACCTTTCCTCTGGTGAAGTCATTTTCATAAATAAAATTTCTTAATCTTTCATACCAAGCTCTGAGAGCTTGTTTCAGACCATACAATGAATTCTTGAGTTTAAAAACAAAATCTGGATTTTTATGACTTTAAAAACCAGGAGGTTGGTGTACATAAATTGTCTCTGTTATGTAGCCATTCAGAAATTCACTCTTAATATCCATCTGATACAAGATGATGTTATGATTAAAAACTAACAAAATTAAGAGACGAATAGACTTTAACCTTGAATCTGGTGCAAAGGTTTATGTATAGTCAATTACTTCTTGCTAACTATATCCTTGTGCAACCAGTAGACGCTTGTTTCTTACCACTTCTCCTTTTTCGTTCAACTTTTTTCTAAAGACCCACTTGGTTCAAATCACATGTGTTCCTTTAGGTTTAGGTACAAGATCCTAAAAATATTTAATGGAGAATTGATTGAGTTCTTCTTTCATTTCCAGAATACACTATGTGTCCAGAAGCGCTTCATCAACAAATGTAGGTTCTATGAGGGACACCAAACCAATAAGTGTTTCTTTAGAAGGTTTGAAGGAGGATCTGGTTCTAATTGGTTCAGTCTTGTCACCCAGAATCAGTTCTTCAGAATGTGAAGACCTTTTTCTATGCTTCCTCAAAGGAGTCTGAGCTTCAACAATTTTTGGTTTAACATCTTCACAGTCATTTATCTCTTGTTCTTCTACAGCAACTTCATTACCTTCAGAGCCTGAATAGGTAATATCTAGATCTCCAAACTTTTCAACTAGCTGTGACTTTTCAGAGTCAAAGTTATCATTGAATCTAACATGAATTGGTTCTTCAACAATAAGTATTTCAGTGTTGTATACTCTATAGCATTTTTAGCATTCAAAGTTTCCTAACATGATACATTTTTGTGCTTTAGAATCAAACTTGTTAAGATTCTCCTTAGTGTTCAGAATAAAATAATCACATCCAGAAGGATGAAAATATGAAATGTTGGGATTCTTATTTTTCTATAATTCATAAGAAGTCTTGCCCATAATAGGTCTGATACAGACTATATTCTGAATATAACAAGTTGTGTTGAGAAGTTCTTTGCCATGTTAGTCTCTTTGATCATGGTTTTGGCCATTTATTGCAAAGTCCTATTCTTCCTCTCTACAACTCCATTTTTATGTGGAGTTCTAGGGCAGGAGAAATCATGGGAAATACCATTCTCATCAAAAAACTTCTGAAATTGTTTGTTTTCAAACTCGCCACCATAATCACTTCTGAATCTGACAATTTTAGAGTCCTTCTCATTTTGCACTTAAGAACAGAAGGTAGTGAACACAGAGTGTGACTCGTCCTTGTGTTTTAGAAATTTAACACATATTCATCTGCTGTAGTTATCAATAATGACTAACACATACTTCTTACCATTGGCAGAAGCAATATTTACTGATCCAAACAATAATGTGTAGAAGCTCTAAAAGCCTAGAGGTAGAAACATCATTCTTTGCTTTAAAATAAGTTTTTGAAAACTTGCCTTTTTGACATGCTTCACAAAGAGCTTCTAAAGAGAACTTTAGATTAGGAAGGCCTCTGACTAAATTAATCTTATTTAGATGAGTAATTCTTATCATGCTAATATGGCCCAATCGTCTATGCCACTTCCATTTCTCTTCATTAATAGATACATTAGACATTTTACATTTTGTTCTTTTAGATATGAAAATCTAATCTTATACATGTTGTTCTTCCTCTTACCATTGAAAAGGATAGAGCCATCCTTCTGACTAATAACTTTATAGGAGTTTTGATTAAATATTATATCATAACCATTGTCACTTAATTGGCTTATGGACAATAAATTATGCATTAATCCATCAACAAGCAAAACATTAGTAATATAAGAGAGTGAACAATTACCAATTATTCTAGAGCCTATGATCTTCCCTTTAGATGAAGCCTCGTCATCATCACTCTAATCTTCTTCAGGCTTCAGCACATCAGTATCTTTACAATCCACTCCCTTAACTTTAGGAGGATCCCATCCTTTCACAACATTATTCTAGGCCTTGTTGCCTGTGGACTTTATGTATGTTTCCATAAGAGTTTTCCAATTGTCATAGTTGGTACCATCCAGAATAGTTATTTTCACCGTGATTCAACCATCCAATTGCACCAGAAAGTAACTTCCATGAATATCACCCAGAGTCAGAGCAGGATGGCTGCTCTGATAACAATTAAAACTTTGGCTATCAGATTCTGGATGTCCTAAGAGATGTCAAGGCACCAGATCTTACTTCACACACAACAACAAGATGTATGGACAAAATAAATAGTGTTGATAGTAAATAACACAAGATATGTTTACCCAGTTCAAAATAATCTTCCTACTCTGGGGGCTACCAAGCCAGGGACGAAATTAACTAGATAATATCAATTTGTAAACCTTATGCCAAACATCCTAGTTTACAGGCTGAGCACTTAATCACTACGCTTTTCTTAACTTCTACCTAAGATACACCTAGGTATGAGGCCCTTCTCAAATCCATCTTCAATTACACTCAGCAATTGGAACATCTCTAAACACAGGTAGAGAACAAAATCAGAAGTCACTCTTCTAAGACACACAAAACACAATACTTAAAAGTTATGAGAATTGACACACAAATACTCAATACTTAATAGCTTATGAGTATCTGACACATAAATGTTCTATGCTTAAAAGCTTAAGAACATATGACACAAAACTTAAAATCCAACAATAAGGATTCTAAAACCCTAACAAAATACACACGTAAGTTCCACCTTAAACTAGGTATACACCAGTCTATTTATAACATTATTCTGGGCTGGACTGGGCTTCAAAACCTCAGCAATGAGTCTGCACATTCTTCTCCAAGATAATAGGTCTTCAATAATTAGTTTCCTAAAATATCTCCATAATTAGAAACTACGCAATCTTATAAAACCAACATAAAAATATTCGGATTTGTCAATCTTGGATGCCACATAAGCTAACTGAATATTCCCCAAATATTAAGTAACTTAATAAATCAACT